CATACACCAGACCTGGGGCGAGCATCCAAGAAGGCCAGGTCCTTGGGTGGGGGCGGCGGAAGGCAGGGCTAGCATTCGAAGACCCCAGGGTTGAATACAATGCCAGGTAGCACGTGAGAGATGAATGGTGAACGCAGTCTGACCAGGCCTCCTCCTCCTCCTCCTCCTCCTCCCCCTCCTCCCCCTCCTCCCCCTCCTCCTCCCCCTCCTCCCATTCATCATGTTCCTCCACATCCTTCTCATCCCCCCTGCTCGCGCGCTCGTGCTTGCGACGGTGACGCAAGCGACTGCGATGGCGACGGCGATCGTGACTAGCATCATCTCGGTGGTATGGCTGACTATGGCGACGGCGACTTGAATGAGCAGACTGCGATGCCACGAGCATGTCTCGATAGCAATGGCGACGCCGACGACGGTGGCCAACGAAACGTGACAATAGGGAGGCACGAGTAGGACACGGCGCACTGCATGCACCGAGAGACCGATCGAGAGCTCGCTACCGTTCCCCCCACACTTGCGGCAGCAGCACTCCCCGTTGGACCAAGATCCGAGCATCTAAATGTCCGACGCTCGCCGACGACTCGGCCTCCCAAAAAATATGGCATTGTGCGCGCAGTGGCGTGTGAACCTTTGTGTGTGCGAGCGTGCGATGGTGCTCTCAAAGTGGGTGTGATCGTGAGTGCATGCGAGCGCCGATGTCACGAGCACGCACGTCGAGGGCCGCGCCGCCCGCCCCTGCGTCCTGCGCCTCCACTCACTCGCTATGGAAGCGCGTCAATGAGCTGAGCCGATCCTTGTACATGGCGCTGCTCATTGTGCGCATGTAGTCCATGTTGGACGTCTTGACAGCTGTGCCCGCGGCCCCGTCCAGGGCCTCGAGGGAGCGACGAAGCGCCCAGAGGGGAAGGGGAGGGCGGTGAAGAAGTGAGTAGTGGAGCTGGAGGGAGCACGAGCAGGAGGCTTCACGGTACAAGGGCAGGGGAGAGATGGATGCGGAGGGAATTAAGGGCAGCAGCATCGGCAAGATGAGGACGATAATGGCCAAAGGGTTGGGGGGAGGAGGAGGAGGTGGAGGAGGGCGCTCATTGCAAACAAAAAACAGTATCGTTCCTCCTCCTCATCTTCGCCCTCCTCCTCACTCCTCCTCCTCATCCTCCTCCTTCCTCCCCCTCCTCCTCCTCCTCACCATCTCCTCCTCCTCACCGCCACCCTGGCCTTAAACCTGCCGCCGTGCAGCAGGGGGATGAACAGCGTGTGGCCGAGGTTGCAGGTCTTGCTGGAGGTCGCTGCTGCCTCCACGGGGTAGAAGAGCACCTGCACGACGTGCCCGCACGGAACGTGGGCCGCTTGCCCGACCTCAGGCTGGAGGATGAAGCTAGCCTGGTTGATCTTGGCCCCTTCCTCTGTCTCGAAGAATTTCATGATGTCTTTGAGCGAGACCCCCTGGGCTACCACTTCCGCCACGGGGTGAGCGAAGTACGCCATGTTGGGCGTCAATGGCACCAGCACGCACTCGTAGCCCGAAAGGGGGACCGCTGACGGCCCCACGCGGGGGCTGTCTGGCTTCACCGTGCAGACCCACGGCGCCAGCCCCCCCTCGAGGAGGTCGTAGACCTCCGAGCCCACCTGGCCGAAGTCCACCTTCGTGACGCTGGAGCCCAGGCGCCCGCAACAGCCGATCCACTTGGCGCCGTTCTCATCAAACTGCTCCTGGTGGACTTTGAGCTTGCTCGTGATCGCCTCATTGTTCTTATCGATGAAGTCCTTGATCACCCCGAGCGTCGCTGTCTCAGGGTCCTTCCACATGGCGACCTTGTCGCCGTTGAACTCCAAGTCCACCTCGACGTCACCTCGGAAGGGAAGCACCTTTCTAGTCTTGCCTTTGGACGAGCCTTTTCCAGCCTCGGTCAGAGAAGCTCGCTGTTCGTCGCCAGTCGCTGCGTACAGAGCCCGACTCATGGCGTCGGCGTATTCCTTTCCAAAGCCCCCCTTCTGCAAACGCTTGGTGATCTTGACGCGCCTGTTGTAGTGGCCCATGTACGCGATCGATTTGTTGTGGCCGAACTTCTCCTGCAAGTACTTGAGCCCGCTGAGCTGCGACTGCACGTGCTTCCTCTGCCCGTCGAGGTCGGTCATCTTGGCGTTCATCACCACCGCGTGCTTGACGAACTCCGCCTTGGTGCACTGCTCCCCGCACTTGCTGACATAGGTCTCGAGCTCCGTTGCCACGCCCGTGAGCTTGTCAACCAACTCCGACGTGGGCTGGTGCAAATCGCCTTCCTTGTCCTTGCCCACCGCCTGGCTGGCAGTGTTGAGCTGCTTCACGTAGCCGCTGGTGGGGTCCAAAAACCCTTTCACGACGTGTGCGGCCATGGCGGCCCACAGCCGCTTCGCCTCCATGAAGCTGATGGGCTCCATGGCCTCTACCTCTGGGCCCGAGGGGATGGTGCGCTCCCTGGTCTGGTCGTCGATGCTGATCCCCAGCTTCGCGTTGAACAACTTGGGCTTCGAACCGCCTCCTGCTGATGACTGCTTCCCGTGGTCCGACGCCTGCCCCTGTGCCCCAACGTCGTTGCCGTCCTTGGGAGAACTCGCCAAGTTCTGAGCCAGAGTCTCAGCGCTCAAAGTCCCTGCGGAACGCGTCGACGCCGAATCCCCGCCAACAACCCAGTGCTCCGACGAATACACCCGCGTAGATGACTCAAGGGGGGGCGCTGCCGATGCCAAGGAGCTGGGCCCAGGGCCAGCGGGAGCAGATTTGACAGAGAAACGCCTGCGCTTCTGCTGGTACTCGAACTCAGACACCTCCGAGGTCTCCTTGGTGAACGACTTCTCGGTGGCGCCCCGCTCCTTGCGGAACCTGCCGATGTCCTTGTACGCGATCTTCCGCTCGATGACGGCGCCCTTGGCGTCCTTGAGGTCGTGTTGCCCCTGCTGGGACTGGTGCAAGCGCTCGAATTCCATCTTAGACTGCTCGTCCGTCGTGCGATGCCAAAACCCTTTCCAACTCTGGAACTCGATAAGGCTGACGACCATGTATCGTCAAGGCTCAGGTTGCTCTGGTGTGTCGAATGCTCGACACCTGCCTTGAAACTCTTCACCACGTTATTGCGAGCGACCCCCCGTGATTGCTTGCTCGGGTCCTTCCACGCCATCATGCGTTTCTTCCAAGCAGGGCGGTCGCTCTGGAACTCCTCAAAGACCTGGGCCTTGATGTGCGCAGGCGCAGTCTTGATGCAGTTGTTGTGCGCCCGCAGCCCGTTCCAGCATACTTGGTGCAGCATCATCCCCTTGTACTCGTGGCTGAGTTCCTCCTTCGGGCCCGACTCATCACAGATGCCACAAACCACCATGGCGACTGGCTCCTCTTTCTCGGGACTCATACCGTCATCAAAAAAAACATCGATGTCTTCAGCACGTTCAGCCGTCAATCGGTGCCGCAACTCTTCGAGTGACAGTCTGCGATTGCTCTGACGCCCAATGCGGCGAAGACGGTTGAGCCAAAACGGCCAACTGGTGGACGGAAGGTGGCAAGGAGGAGGAGGGGGAGTGCCACGGATATGAATGAGGGTCGGTGGGTAGAGGGCAGGGGCAAGCGGGAAGGGGAGCCACGAGGGCCGAATGCGAACCTCTATTGAACAAGGGCAAGGACGTTCATGCAGGGGATACAAGGCGCGAAGAAAGACGGCCAGCTCACGGACCAGACACGGGAGGAGGAGGGGGAGGAGGAGCGAAAACGGAGCCCAAGATCCGACCAGCTCACTTTGGGCCATTGTGGGACACTTGGCTCTGCGGAGCCGGACGCGTGCACAACATGAGGGAGTTGAAAACGCAAAGGGTCCCTCCAGAATGTGCTGCGAACTGTGCTCTGCCAAAACCGCCCTCCCAGGAGCCTTAACGGGGTGTGGATAGGGGGAGGGCTGTCTACGACCATGCCCAGTCACGCCTTTTTGTACACCCTGGAGACCCCATCAGACCTGGGACTTTGCAATCAAACGCGTTCTAGGGACCCGAAGTGGCATCGGTGGCGCAACCTAGTGCAGACCAGGACGGTAGCAGCGGCCTTTTCATCCTTCTTATCATCCAAGTCTTCTTCGTCGTCGTATTTATTGTTGACGTTTCGTTGTTGATTTTGTCATGTGCACGTTTAGTGGCCCGCGGCCGTTAATTTTGAATGCCCAAGCACGCGTTGACCTCATCCTTCAGATCAGCAGCCCCCTCATCCTCATGATGCCTAGCCTCCTCGTCCTTCACCTCATGCTGGTCCTCAGTATCACGATCCTCCTCGCCCTCCTCCTTACCCCCTCCACTTTCTCCTGCTACTCCCTATCCCCCACCTCCTCCTCCTCCTCCTCCTCCTCCTCCTCCTCCTACTCCTACTCCTCCTCCTTCTCCTCCTCCTCCTCAGCCTTGCCCCCATGCTCATCGGAGCGTGGTTCGATCAAGCGTTAGGCCATGCTTCCCCCCCTGGCTGCTAATGGGGGGCGCGGGGATCCCAACAAAAGGGAGTCTGGCGATGGCCAGGGCGATGCATCGCTGATGAGTGCCCACGGTGCGCACTGATGGACTGATGGGCACTGGCACGCACTGATGGTGACAAAGATTCGCTCGGCCATACCCGTACCAGGCGCGCGAACTGCAAGACAGCTGGCGACAGGCGACTGGGGGCTGCACTGAGCAGCAGGCTCGCGGCACGCAAAATAGCAGGCGACTGGGGGCTGCACCGAACAGCGACTGAGGCCTGCACAGAGCTAGCGACAGGAGACTGGTGGCAAAAATGAGCAGGCTCTCGTGCTGTCGGGTCGCTCTTGCGCCCGCGCAGACGAACGAACTAGTCGTCGCGCTGGGACTCTGGAATGTAGCCAAGCGGAAGTACGGGCGGTGGGCCACCGTAGCCCTTCTTTTTTTGCTCACCTTCGGTGCGACACGGGGGGTGTCCTCTGGGATCTGCTTATCCGATACCTCATAGATTTTGAGACCAAGTGCGTTGATGGCAGCGAGAGCCTTGTCTTTGTCGTTCACTGCCTTCTGGAGTTTCTTGACCTTCTGTTTGAGCTCGGCGTTCTCTGTCTGAAGGTCGGCCCTCGACTTGACCATGCTGCTCTCGTCGCGGAAGCAACCGCTGATATTGTTGGTTACACAGAGAAAAGAAGAAACGAACTTGATTCGATCCAAAACAGCCACGGAGGGAGCATTGCAGGTCGTTATCGGGGCACCCAGAACACTTGAAGACATCATTGCGCGTGTTTGGTGGGTGGCCCTAAAACCAATGGAAGCGCCCCCAAGTCCCCCTGTTCCTTTTGTTTATCAGCTCGGAGGGGGGGCAACATTCCAACCAACAGGCGTCGCAGTGATCCGCGCCCACAAGGGCTTTGCAGCGTATAAAAGGGGTCCTGTTTTGGGGCGCAAGAAGCCAGGGCCAGGACCTGCGATGGACGCTTTGCAATGCATGCTTGTTTGGCTGGCCCTTTTAACGTTTGAAAGCCCATCGGGCACGAGAAACCCAACAATATTAATATGCATGGCTGAAATCTATAGTAGAGTACGTTTAATTGCATGGCTGGTTTAACTACATTGGTATCTAGAAATGTCGGCGCGGGACGATCGCCCCTGCACCAGAGCACCGGAGCCCGAGCGCGCGCCGTTTTCCACGTCACGTGGTTTCTGCTCAGAGAAGAGGCTGGAAGAGCACGCATGAGGAAGAGGCGTGTCCGTTTTGCACTGCGTTGTGCCGTTGCAGCTTGTTTCCCCGACAAAGCGCGGTGAGGTTCGCATTGGCTGCACATGGCGCATCGTCGAAACGTGGGGGGCGCCGCGCGTGCAGTCGTGCGCCTGTTTTGTATCATGCAGCTGGAAGTGGGTAGCGATGATACTGCGCTCGCGATCGCGTCCGAGGTTGACGTTTGATGTGGTCAAGCGATGGCTCGTGGAGAAACCAACCATCGCGCCAGTGACGTTGCAATAGTCAGTCGCTTCGTGGCTTTGTCGGGCTCACCATGGTTGTTGCGGCGATAGCGCGAGCAATGCATGGTAAGCGCTGCGTTGTGGCGCGGTGGTGTCGATGCGCGGGTGCGTGCGTGGGGGATAAGGGGGCGCGCGGTTATGGTGCTGGTGGTCGGCGGGGTGGGGTGGCAATGGCGGTGGTGGTGGTTATGCGCGCGTTTGTGCGCGGTGGTGGGGGGGTGGATGGGGGGCGGGGGGGCGGTCGGTAGAGGAAGGGGGGGGGGGGGCGTGCGCGCGCGTGCATGCGTGCGCGGTGAATGAGGTCTGCGTGCATGCGCGCGTGGGCGCGAGTTGCAGGCGGGCGCGCTGTTCTCTGGGCAAGGGGGGCGGGCGGGGAAGAGAGGCGCATTCGCGATGAAGGCTTGGCTGGGCGGCGCGCGCAGGCGGTGCGCGGCTGGAAAGGCTGGGCGGGGAGGGTGGCGGGCGGGGGGGGGGGGGGTGCGGGGTGGCGCGCGGTGCGCGCGCGCGTGTGCGCGCGCGCGTGCGCGCGTGCGTGCGCGAGTGCTTGCATGTGCGCGTGAGTGCGTGCATGCGCGCGCGCGCGGCGCGGGGGGTGGGCGGGTGGGGCGGGGGGCGGGGGTGCAGAGGGGGGGGGGGGGGCAAGTCAAGGTCCAACGCGCGGACGCCGAGATGTGGGCGTCGGCAAGGCGGGCGCGCGGCGGTGGCGGTGAACGGTGGCAATGTCGGCGTGAGCAAGAGCGCTTGCACGTTGGACGTGTTCGGTGGCGCGCGCATGCTTGCGCGCGTGGCGGTGGGCGTAGCGGCGTTGATGGCGGCCGTTCGCGCGCGTGACATGGCGCGCGCTGCGCAGTGATGGTTCTGGAGGCAGTCCGCGCGCGCGCGTGCGCGCGCGCCGACCCGTGGCACTGAAAGCGCGCGCGGCGCACTTTCAGTGCCACCAGACGGCGCGCCCGAAACTGCTGATCGACGCCACCCCGCGGTCCAGATGCCGACGTAGAAGGCCGTGCCTTTGCGGCCGCGGCGACTAGGATCCCTTTTCGCTAACTGCACCAACCAATCTGCACAGTTCGTTGCACGCTGTGGGACAGACTACCAAAACAAAACCGCTGCTAGGGGAGGGCGAAAACTTAAACCACCACGTGTAACCTTGAGGCTAGGCCCTTGGGCCGCGGGCAACCTCGCGCTATCGCCTTTGGGCCGTCTATTACCTTGCCATAGGAATGCACAGCGACAGCGCCCAGCCAAGCGCGCGCTGGCCAGGTCGGGCGCGCGAGCGGCTGAACGTTCAGGCGCGAGTGGCCAGGGCGGCGCAATTCTGAGTGGCGGCAGCGCACTCGAGTCGACAATGGGCGGCGCCGAGATCAGCGCGCAGGCAGGGTGAATGAGCGGCGGGCGGCGCGCGGTGGTTTGGGGATCATTCGCAGTTGGTTTCCGCGCGCATGGAGCAAGGCGCGCGCGCACAGGACGCGCGCGCGCATTTGCGCGCGAGCGGGCGCGCGCGAGAGCGCGCGCGCAGCGGCGGCGGCGGGTTCGCGGCAGCGTTTCCCTGAATTGTTGGGCGGGCGGGAGGCGGGGAGGGGGGGCGGCGGTGCGAGGGGGCGGGGTTGGGGGGGCAAAGAGGTGGTGGTGGACCAGTCACCGTGCTCTGGGCGGAGTGTGTATGTGCGCCATGGTTCAAACAACGTGGGGATTGGTGGGAGGGGGGGGGTGGGGAGGGGGGGGGAGGCGTGTGTAGTGTGTGTGTTTTGTTGTGGGTGTTGTGTGTGTGTGTGTGTGTGTGTGCGTGTGTGTGTGTGTGTGTGTGTGTGTGTGTGTGTGTGTGTGTGTGGGCGTTTTTTTTGTGCGAGTGTTGTGTGTGTGTGTGCGTACGTGCGCGTGTGCGTGTGTGCGCGCGCGTGCTGTGCATGTGCGTTGTGTGCGGGGTGGGGGGGTGGGGTGGGTGGGGGGGGGGGGGGGGGGGGGGGGGGGGGGCAGCGGCGCTAGTCGCAGCGCGGCCCTGCTCGGCACCGACGCACACGACGCGATTGTTGTTCGCTTGCAAGTGGCACCACGGCGTCGCAACTAACGTGCGCGACGTGCAAAGTCGTGATGGCGCGCGGTTCACCGCGATGGGCAAGTGGGCGCGTCGGCAACAATAAGAAGAATGACGCGTTGCCAACCGCTTGCGCAATGCAGCTGCCGCGCTGGCGCAGGTTGGCAGCTTGGCGCGCAGCGCTGCTGCGCTGCATCGTACTTGGCCGTCGGTAGTGTATGGTGGTTTAAGGTGGTTTGCGGTGGTTTATGTTAATTAGGCCAGTGGTTTATGGTGGTTTAAGGTGGTTTGCGGTGGTTTATGTTAATTAAGCCAGTGGTTTATGGTGGTTTAAGGTGGTTTGCGGTGGTTTATGTT